TTCTTCTTTAAGTTTTGTTGAGTGAGCAATGGGAAGAGACGCATAACGGTTACCATTGTGCAAGAGAACACATTTCAAGCTACAAATTGAAATACAAAATAATTATATGGGATATTTCATTACCTAAGACACTGTTAAAGAGTCAAAAGACAAACCAAAAGCTATTGCATTTGTTATCACACACAAGTCGCATTGGGGAATGCATTATTTTCATGGATGTCCATTATTTCAAAAACTAGAACCAATTTAGCAAAAGTAATGGGACCCTCAAAATACCCTGAATTTTTTTTGTAGACCTGTGTAATCATAAATTGCAGAACTGATCAGAGGGCAGTGTATAGGAAATGACATGTGATGTTGAGGAAGTTTCAAGAGTGAAAAAAAACATTGTTCAATACGTGTTTGTTATTGGTGTTAGTACACTGGATGATTTAAATCATTATGGTATAAGGCCAGAGGCCCCGCAGGCCCTACAAGCCTGAAGTTTGGCAAACCTGCACCAGTCCCCAGGGGCGCCGTAAGGGGGAGGAAAGCTAGGACGATTCCAAGGGCCCCTGAGTGATAGGGGCCCTAAAAAATTAGGAAAATAACTGGATTGGTTTGGACTGGGGGGCCTAATATGATATGCTTTCATGGGGCCCAAAATCTCTAGCAACGCCCCTGCCAGTCCCCTCCAAGCCAAGGTCCCACCAGCTCCAACAAAACTGGACCCAGATCACCACATCAAAAGGACAGCCTCAACCCTCACTGAGTGACAAGAACCCCGCAGCCAGAATCCTGTGAAATCTTGCCTCAAGATACAGACACATGCTACGCTCAAGCAAAGGAAGCATCACCCCAAACTAACATTAGGAAAACACACGTTTGGTCTTGTTTGAATGGTCATGGTATGACGAGCACAACATTCTCAACTTCAAAGAAATATGTCATCACATAAGTGAAATATGAAAAACAAGACTAATTCCACTAAAGCAAAAGACCTTATCATCTAATGGACCAATGGAATTTACACATCCACATAAAGCAATCCAGTTGTTTGATTGCCTGAGAACTGATAACTCAGCAATTCACCAGACCACACACAAAACATCGAACCAGTCCCTAAAAGTAAACAATCATAACATTTGGTCAGAGAATCCAATATTCAATAACATTCTTTCACTTGATTTTGGTATTTCAGAATGGCTCCAAAGATAATCGGGGGAACATTGTAATCAGAGCTCCCAAGAAGTGCTGTGTGAATTTATATCTGTAATCAGATCCTTCCCATCATCACTCTGTGCATATGTAGTTGATGTATGTAACCTTTTGGTTTTACACAGTTGGTGATGTATTAGACAATATTGTTGGAGTTTCTAGCTAGATTTAATTTAGATGAGTTTATGTATTTGGTAGTATTGTCACGCCCCGCTCTGTCCGCTCCCGATGTGTGCCACGCCCACCTCGTCACCTCGTGTTCAGCCCTAATTGTGATTGCCTGTGTCCTGTTAAGTCTAGCTTGTCTTGTGTATTTAGTCCTCGTCTGAGTCAGTCTTCCCCAGACTTGTCATTGTAGTGTCATGCGTTGGTCCTGTTTCCTCGTCTGTCAGCCTTTAATAAACCCCGTTTGCCCGTCAGTCCGGCTCCATTCGCCTGCTTCCCTACTCGCTCACCCGCGAAGCGTGACAGAATGACAAGTCTCCGAAACAAGCTCAGCGCTACCGGGGAAGTCCTCCCCATGGAGGACGAGGTGATCGCATGGACGAACCAGCTGGATCGCCACCCGGATCCCGTAGCCCGCCGGCTGGTGGATAGGTGTTGGGAGCTCCTGGACAGGAGGTTCCACACCGGCGAGGAACAGCTGCTGGAGCAGGTGGACGAACATCTGCGGCAGCTGAGGGCGAGTGCGGCAGTTTGGTTACCACACCCGGGGTATGCCGCCCGGGAACCGCCCCCCGACTCGCTACCAGCCACCTTCTCGGTCTCAAAAAGGGCTGCTCATAAAACGCGCAACCCTGAGCTTCACGCGGCTACGGCCGCTCAGCTTCCCCGCTGTGGGGAGCTGCCCTGGGTCCCAGAGGGCTCCGCTCTCCCCCACGCCAAGAAGAGACGCCGGGGAAAAGGGAGGAAAGCCCACCCGACGACGCTCTTCTTGGGAGCGTGCTCCCTTCTCTCCACCTGGGAGGACGCCGCTGATGCCGGTACGCCTCACGTTGAGGAAAAGCCACCTCCGTTAGAGGCTTACGGCTACCGGCCGGCGTGCCTGGGCCACGGAGGAATACGCGCCGTAAGAGACGGCATTCCCCGGGTCCCAAGAGCCCTTAAAGGGGCAGCGCCAAAGCGCTCGGCACCCCTCCTGCCTGCTCCGGACCTGCATATTCCGGATCTGCCCGTGGCTGCGCTGCCTGCTGCCGCCGCCGATCTGCCCGCGGCTGCGCTGCCTGCTGCCGCCGCCGATCTGCCCGTGGCTGCGCTGTCTGCTGCTGCCGCCGCCGATCTGCCCGTGGCTGCGCTGTCTGCTGCTGCCGCCGCCGATCTGCCCGCGGCTGCACGGCCTGCTGCCGCCGCCGCTCTGCCCGCGGCACCGCCTGCTGCTGATGCCGCCGCTCTGCCCGCGGCACCGCCTGCTGCTGATGCCGCCGCTCTGCCCGCGGCACCGCCTGCTGCTGATGCCGCCGCCGTTCTGCCCGCGGCACCGCCTGCTGCTGATGCCGCCGCTCTGCCCGCGGCACCGCCTGCTGCTGCTGCTGCCCGAGGCGCCCCCTGCTGACCGGACGCCGGAGGCTCCCGCCGAGGCGCCCCCTGCTGACTGTATGCCCGAGGCGCCTACCCAGGCGACCCCTGCTGACCATGTGACGGTGACGCCCGCTGAGGCACCCCCTGCTGGTCGCACGCCTACAGCCGCCTCAGCTCTGCCCGCTGAGGCGCCCCCTGCTGGCTGCACGACTGACGTGCCTGCCGGGGCGCCCCCTGCTGGCCAAGTGACTGCAGCGCCCGCTGAGGCGCCCCCTGCTGGCCACCTGTCCTGCCCGCGGCCCTGCCCGAGGCCGCATCTCCCGTCATGCCCGCGGCCCTGTCCGAGGCCGCCTCTCCCGTCATGCCCGCGGCCCTGTCCGAGGCCGCCTCTCCCGTCAGGCCCACGGCCCTGCCTGAGGCCGCCTCTCCCGTCCTGCCCGCGGCCCTGCCTGAGGCCCTGACTCCCTCGCCCTTACCCCGGCAAGGCCAACGCCCCCCAGGACCCCGCCTGTCGGTGTCCCGTAAGGGACGGGGACATAGGCGTCGGGCCCGGGTCCCGCCCGCCCTGCCCCCTGGCTCGCCCGTTCGGCCCCTGGCTGTGGCTCGGTGGCTGCCTGCGGGTCCTCCGGCTCGGGGTCGCCACCGGGTCCCCCCCTGGATCCTCAGTGCCAGTCCTCGGTCCCTCCTCCGGCTCCATGTCGGTCGCCTCCGGGCCCCCCTGCTCCGGCTGGGCGTCGGATGGGTTTCCCTCCTGCTCCCTCCGTGTCCCCTCCGTCACTCCCTCGTCCCGTTCCCTTGGCCCCTGGGTGGTCCCCTCCTGCTCCCTTCTCCCTCTCCCCTGCGGCCCCTCCGGCCGCTGCCTGTCGCCCGCCTGGGCTCCCTCGTGCTCCCCTTGCTCCTCCTCCCTTTCCCTTTCTGCCTCCTGTCTCTGCTCCTCTGCCCTCTGTGTCTCCTCTGTTCACTCCTGGCCCCTCCGTGTCGCCTGTGGGTGTTCCCTCCGTGTCGCCCTTTTCTGTCTGTCCGCTTTCCCTGTTCTTTGTCGGGTTCTGTCCTTCGTCTCGTCCCTGTTCCTGTTTTGTGTCTCTGTCTTGTTCCCTGTTTTTGGTTGATGTTTTGCTTTGTCTTCCAGGTCCTGTTCCCCGGTTCCGTCTCGTCCGTCGCCTCCTCTCGGGCGCGCCCGGTGTGCGCGCCTTTGGGGGGGGGTTATGTCACGCCCCGCTCCGTCCGCTCCCGATGTGTGCCACGCCCACCTCGTCACCTCGTGTTCAGCCCTAATTGTGATTGCCTGTGTCCTGTTAAGTCTAGCTTGTCTTGTGTATTTAGTCCTCGTCTGAGTCAGTCTTCCCCAGACTTGTCATTGTAGTGTCATGCTGTTTCCCTTTCTGCCTCCTGTCTCTGCTCCTCTGCCCTCTGTGTCTCCTCTGTGTCTCCATCCTGTTTCCTCGTCTGTCAGCCTTTAATAAACCCCGTTTGCCCGTCAGTCCGGCTCCATTCGCCTGCTTCCCTACTCGCTCACCCGCGAAGCGTGACAAGTATGTATGTCTTTTTGTATTATTTGTAAATAAATGTTGTTTTGATTACTTCTTGGATGTCTGACTTATTTCAGTATGTTCTTGTTAAATGGGGCACACTCCACTGGCCAGGGTTATTAGTAAGCTAGACCGCAGGGTAAGGGATAAACACTGCTCCGAATGAATCTAGGTGTTGGACTGCTGTTTGGCTCGGATAAGCTGAGATCAGTTTCGCTATGTATAAAACTATTGTGCAGCATCTGAGTTGTCCACTTCTTTCCATGACCTTCCGTTGTGAGAAAAATAGTGTACTAAAGTATTTACTTAATACACTTAGCACAAAAAATATACTTTCAGCAAAGTCTATTAAGTGTGGTATATCCCTAAAAAATTTTACTAAAGTGTGTTTGATTACAGACATACTTTTATTCAAGTGTGCTTCAGTGTACTTATGTGGTGTGGTTTCTCGTCAGAGAATCCCATCAACTCTGACCCTTCAGTTTAGCGGGTTTTTTTTTTATTTGTATAATTTTCCCGGTAAGGTTAGGGAGGAACCACTTTAGGAAATGGGGAATGCTTTCTTTATAATTTTATTTTATGCTGTTTTGAGTTAAGTGAACATTTTTAGTTTCAACATATTTAAAATAGGTTTTATTGGGGTGGGGGGGGGAGCATAAAAAGAGTGTAATTCTTTCTGTTTATCTGTAATTAATTTTGGACTCTCCCTTCCCAAATTCTTCGGTAGTGTGCTGCCTTTCTCCAGTCTGTCTGGACCGAGAGAGAGGTATATGGACGCTTGACAGTTTAGTTAAAAAAAGTTGTAAAACAAGATTTATGTTTGTTTTATTTAATGATAATTACTTCTGTTAAATGTTCATGTCTGTATGTAATCCTGGCCACTCGTAAATGTGTATTTCTTTCCGTTCCTGCGAGGAAAACCAAGTAATCACTATATGTTGCTGTCGCTTACAAGTCTGATCTTTTAGTGTGTTTAATGTACTGTAATATTGTATGATTTTCGTTTGTATCCATAAAACTAAATCCTGCAGTTTAAGTTATTATTTTTCTTAAGTGTTGATTTTGTTTTCCTCGCTCCCCCTTTTGCGGGAGAAGTAGAGTATTTGCCTCCTTGATGTGAGCCGTGGCCTGAGACGGACAGAAAATTGTTTTGTCATTAAAGGTACGTACGTATTTGAATTTATAACTAGGGTGTAACTTGTTCTGTTATTTGTTGTTATGTGACCCAGTCTGTCTGGACCGAGAGAGAGAGGATTTACCTCCTTGATGTGAGCCGTGGCCTGAGATGGACAGAAAATTGTTTTGTCATTAAAGGTACGTACGTATTTGAATTTGTTTGGTGATGCTTTGCTAGGTAGCACTGAAATATTTCCAATTGAAGTTGGGGGTTACATCCCAAACCCACATTATTATTATTATTATTACTTGCACTTTTTCCCACAACCCACTATCCATATATTACATACTGTGTATGGGTGTACATAGGCACTACTGCTGTATTTAGTGTTTTATCTTATTTTATTTTTTATTATTTATTTATTTATTTTTCTTGTATTCTTATTCTGTATTACTCTTGTACACTTTCAGGCTACCTGTCTAGAGCTGTGGTAACGCATAAATTTCCCCACTGTGGGATCAATAAAGTCCTATCCTATCCTATCCTAGATTTTTTTCTGGATCCTGAATACGCCCCCAAATTCTGTTACGATCCACAAGTCTAGGGGTTTGTGGTGCAACAGAATATGTGTGTGTGGGGCGTGTGCATGTACAGAACGGGACACAGGAGTCAGAATAGTACAACAAACCCAGAAGTGTATTTACAGAGATTTCTGGCACCGCATTGTATTTACAGGACTCAGGAGTGACCCACGCCAAAACAACAAACAAAATAGGCTAATGCCACAAATTCAACCTACCTTCCCTGAACAAAAATGAAAGTACAATCACTACCCCTATGTCCCTAGCCAACGCGTTCAATAAACAGAAATAAACAGATAAACAGTCACTCCCTACATACACTCTATGACAATCACTCTCGCAAAGCATCAAAGCTGAGGGCTGGGTTTAATCATAGTCGAAATACAAAGCTAGAATGTCAGTACACAGAAATCAGGCAGAGGATTAGTGACAGTACCAACAAAAAGCAAAAAAAGAGTTACCAGGCAACAAACCAAGGTCATACGGGAGTAGACAAATCAAAGTCTGCAAATCACAAACCAAAATGGGAGAGAGCATGCCAACAAGAAGCTGTTGGTTTTGATGTTGCCAGTCCTTTCTATGGTGTGGAGGGTCTGGAACTGATGGCATAGATCGAACAAGGCTTAGGTAGAGCTCCGGTGGAGCCGAAGAATCCCCAGATCAGGTCAGGCATCTTGACGTCAGCATCGGTCGAAGCAACCATACGGCACAGAACAACGCTTACAGCATGTAACACACCTTACGGCATGGAACAAAACTTACAACATGTAACATGGGGTTGCCCATCTGCCGAAATGTCGCCAAAGGAAGAAAAGTGGCAAATGAGCTGAAATTTTGATCAGACTTAGGTGGCATATCAACCGGCCTCTGCTCCCCTGACTAGCATACAGTCCCTAGAGAACAAGCTCTGTGAGTTCTGGGCATGAATCTCATTCCAACAAGAGACACGGGACTGCTCCATTATCTGCCTCACAAAGACCTGCCTGTTGGAGGTGGAACCAGGATGCAAGACATCATGAGGAAAAGGAAAGGAGGTGAGGTATGCTTAATGATCAGCAACTGCTGGTATGAAATGTTTGAGTATACTTATCGTCAAGTCCTTCTTCTTATTCCGCATTGCCAGTAATAAGTCGGACGTGCTCCTAGTACGTGTTGGACTCTGCCAGGGCTGCCCTTTGTCACTGGTCCTGTTTATAATATTTATGGACAGGATTTCTAGGTGCAGCCAGAGTGTTGAGGGAGTCCAGTTTGGTGGCCTCAGGATTGCATCGCTGCTTTTTGCAGATGACATAGTCCTGTCGGCTTCATCTGCTGGGGACTCCAGCGAGCTCTGGGGTGGTTCGCAGCCAAGTGTGAAGCAGTGGGGATGAGGATTAGCACCTCCAAGTCCGAGACCATGGTTCTCAGCCGGAAACAGATGGATTGCCCTCTTCAGGTCAGGGAGGAGGTACTGCCTCAAGTGGAAGAGTTCAAGTATCTCGGGGTCTCGTTCATGAGTGATCGTAGAAGAGATGGAGAGCTGGATAGACGGATCGGAGCTGCATCTGCAGTTTTGTTGGTAGCACTTAACTGGTTCATCAAATGTTACAACCTAAAAGTTTGCTATTCACGAACAAATTAATGAATACAGAGTAATAATAAAAATAAACAATTCAAAGTTTTTATTGTCATGTACAGACTACAATGCAATTCTTACTTGAATGCCTTCTTCACAGACTAGCCCTTATGTCCATTTGAGGGTCTTCCGGACCCAGTCGAAGATTTCAAACATGGCGCATCTTTCGCCACTACTTTCAGTTTCAGCTTCAACTTCTCTTACTTTGCATTACATCACACATAAGGGATGACTTTTTGCAGTAAAGACGACATTTTTTATATTCGCGAATTGAAAAGAAAAAAAAATAAATAATAATTATTAAAACTATATCCGCCGAACCCATATGTTCTACGTGGTGCAGTGTGAAATTGAAATGGACACAAGGGCTAGACGATTAACCAAATAAAGCAGCACAACATTACAGTAACTAACAATAAATAAACCACTAACTTATGTGTACTATTAGAGCATTTATGTCATTTATTTATTTATTTTACCAGGTAAATTAACTGAAAACCAGTTCTCACTGCTTTACGTGATATTCCGGAGAATTATCGATTACGCATCAAGTGCTTGTGTCTCGAACAGGGAGACTGTCATTCGGCTGACAGTTGTAAGTATAGTTATTTCAAATGTACATCTTTAGGAACTTTTAATATGCACCGTTCACGTGAACACACACTACTTTATATCTTGTCACTGCAACTCTGCATCATAACTTTTTTTTCCTCAAGATCTCAACATAGCCAAAGTTGTTTTCTCAAAATCACAAAATAAAACAAAAGTTGTAATTAAACACTAAAATAGCATTTGTCAAGATTAAGAGGGAAATTGATTCCACTAAAATGCCATAATTAATGCTATTGAATCCATGCAGGCTTTTTTAAATTTGCACTGCCACATGAAATCAAGAATTACCCCCATGTGCTACACATAAAGGGCAGAATTTTCCCTTGTTGTGAGAAATGATTTTAACATTAACTTTTAAAAAGTAACATCAGCAGTAAAACTGTATTTCACACTATCATGGTTAAACTTTTTAGTTCATTCTGAGGGGATCCATTAAAATCACGGATCAATTACAGTCTGTTTACACCGCGGCAAACTCCTCCTGCAGCCGGTCCAAGAGCCTGGCAGCCTCCGGGGAGCCCCTTATGGCGGGTTCACCCACCACCCGCCAGTACAGTCCTTGGAGGGTAAAAAACCTCCTAGCTGTCTCCAGGCAAGGCTGTGGCTCAGGAACCACGGGGGGCGCTGCAGCCTCAGGAACCACGGGGGGCACTGCCCGCTTCCGAAACCGCGGAACCCGCTGGATAGCGTCCTTAATGGACCTGGCCCCTTTAAGGGCCAGGCGCGTCCCGTTGAAGGGGCATTTGGCTGGCTCAGGCTTGGGCAGCGAAGCGGCGGTGACATCACCCGCGAACACCGCCGGGTGGAGAATCGGGCGGGGATTCTCCTTACGCGCAGCAGGGCAAGCGGCGGAAAGGTAGACGGACCTGACGAGGAGCTCGTCCGCTGCGTCCTCCTGTTTTCTGCCTCTCCGCTTCTTCCGTGTTGCTGCGGCTGTGCGGCCAGGCACTTCGGGAGCCGGCTTTCGTCGCCGGTCGGCATCCGGCCAGTACAGGCTGGGGTCGCAGAAAGCGAAATTCGCCGGGATTATCTTGGGAATTCCGGGTAGATCGTCCCTCAGCGGGTACGCCGGCGAAGTACCTGGTCTTTCTTTCGGGAGTCCGGTCATTCTGTCCCGGCGCGTATGCGCCCGGAGCACAGACAAACAGGCAGGAATTCAGGGATAGGGAAAACGGGGTTTAATCGTAGACGAGGCACGCTACAATGCAACATAACATCAATGACCGGACTGGGGAAACAAACGGAAACGCGGACTAAATACAATGGACTAATGACAACAATCAGGAACAGCTGGTAAACACGGGGAATCCACATGCGGTTAACAAGGGGGCGTGGCACACATTAGGATCGGACGGAGTGGGGCATGACACAAACCAAATAACAACTGCTTCATTCGTGGTTCCAGTTGGAGACTTGTTCCATATTGTGCCTTAAAATATGGGTAATTGAGAAATCTCTTAAATCACGATCACTTTATTTACATGCATCATAGAACTCAGTTAAAGTGAAATTTTTGTGCCACAGTTACAGGGGAGGGAACAGGTGCATGGGGGACAACAAGACAAAACAGTATAAACACTGCAATAAGAGATGGGACAATACAATGTGGGGAGTGGAACAATAAATATATTCAACACGCATAAGTTTGTGCAGGTTAGGCAAAGTACAAAGACCATTGATAAGAGTGAAAACCAATATACAAACAGTACACGCAAATCTGTGAACTTCCTCATCGTTCTTGGCAAGGAAACAAGTTCTCCCTAGAGTAACAGACATTCTCTGGGAGTGGTTGACCTAGTAAGTAACTGAAAAGACCCAAGATAAAAATAATCGACCTTGAAACAAATAAATTGATCTGCAATTTACTTATAATACACATTCACTTATTTGCAATCAAATCAGGTCTGTTGTAATGACAACAAAAACAGGCATAGCATCGTAATGTTAATATTAGAGCCCAGAATAATGTAATGGCTTAACGTTGCCATTACATGACAAAAATAAGATAATGATAATATATAATAATAAATGATGAGTAAGCAAGTGATTCATACTTGTACTTATCCGTAAATATACCGGAATACTTCGTCTGCCTCAGAGTCACCCCCGACGTATGAAAAACCATATAATTCACAATATCCTCATAACTTCCAGCTGGAGGCTCACAACCATCCTTTTGCTTTCAATGTATACAATCACATATAATAACGTCCATTTTCTCTTTGTATCTTTTTCTTGTATCTGGTACTGAAAGATATACCTGTGGAATAACTATACTGTTATGATTGGCCGATTGACAGGCTCCATGGCCGTTTTCAATGACTGTGACAGATTTTCAGAGTTCCAGCTGCCCAAACATCAACAGTGAGGACCTCACTTCTAAAATTTTGTACCATCCAGTAGATCCAGACATCAATAATGTGCCCAAAGGTGGACAAGAATTTATACATAGTAGACACCTGGAGGACTGTTGAGAAGTTCATTGGATGAAAGAAATCGCAGGATGGATATCTGCCATGAACCATGTACATGAACATGACTTTAATAAAAAACTAAAAAAGTCTTTCCTGAAATGTCTAAATTCTATTGAATTAATTAATCAGTTAATGTTTAGATTGTACTATTCTTTGGTTTAGATTGTTATTGATTGAGTGGAACCCTGTTCAGTGGTACCTCAGTTCTCAAACTCATTATAACTGGAATTTCTTAAAAGTCGAACCAACCAGTTCGAAATTTTTTTTACCTAGAACTCGATCTGAATCTCAGAAGTCAAACCATGAACGCCGACTTAAGATAACTTGTACGCCGGGGAAATGAGTGTCATGATCCATGTGGGCGAGCGAGCGGGGAATCAGGATCGGTCACACGGATATCCAAGAAAACAGGGTTTAATTCCACAAAAGGGCAGGCAACAACACATTGACACTACATCAATGACCGGACTCGGGAAACAAACGGAAACGCGGACTAAATACAATGGACTAATTTACAACTATCAGGAACAGCTGGTAAACACGGGGAATCCACATGGGGTTAACGAGGGGGCGTGGCACACGAGAGGAGCGGACGATCGGGGCATGACAGAACCCCCCCCAAAGACGCGCACTCTGGGCGCGCCCCAGGGGAGGCGACAGACGCAACGAGACCGGGGACATGGGACCTGGAGAGACAAAAACAAGAGCAAAACACATCAATGGGGCACAGGAAACAAGATAGACACGCAGAACAGGCACAGAGACAAGAAAAAGGACAGGAACCGACAAAGAACGGGAAACGCCGACAAACAGACCAGGAAAGGAGAAGGCGAGAAAGGCGGAACAAAAGGACCAGGAGTGAACGGAGGAGGAACAGAGGGACGAGCAGCAAACACAGGCGGGACAAAGGGTGGAGGAGCAGACAGGGGAGACCAGACAGGGACGGACGGGGGACAAAAGGGAGCCCAGGCGGGCGACGGGCGGTGGCCGGAGGGTCTGCAGGCGAGAGGGAGAAGGGAGCAGGAGGGAACCACACAGGGGCCGAGGGAACGGGACGAGGGAGAGACGGAGGGGACACGGAGGGAGCAGGAGGGAACACCGGCGAAGGCAGGCAGGAGGGGGAAGCTGCGGCAGGCGACGGCGCAGCCTGAGCCAGGGAAGGCGGCGACCGATGCCAAGCCGAAGCAGGGGGGCCCGGAGGTGGCCGACACGGAGGCGGGACCGAGGACCGGCACTGAGGCACCGGGGGGGGGGGACCCGGAGGCCACCGCCGACCCAGAGCTGGAGGACCCCGGAGCCCCAGCCAAGGCACGCGAGGGCGAGCCAGGGGGCAGGGCGGGCGGGACTCCGGCCCTGCGCTTGTGTCCCCTCCCCTTTCGGGACACTGAAAGGCGGGGACCCCGTTGAGTTTCACCTCGTTGGGGCGTAGGTGGAGAAGTCACGGGGGAAGTCACGGGGGTAGCCACAGGGGTTACCACGGGGGTAGTCACTGGGGAAGCCATGGGGGTAATCAGGGCAATCCCCGAGGGGTCCCACTCAAGCTCCCCCTCCAAGTCCACTACGGAGGGAGGAGCATCAGAGCCGCCGTTTGGGGCCTCCTTGAAGACAGGGGCCTCGGGCAGCGTGTGTCAGGCACAGCAGAGGCCACAGGGGATGCCGCAGGCGTGGTGACAGGCGGGACGGCCAGGGCCGCGGGCAGAGCAGCGGCGTCAGGCAGGGCCACCTCAGCAGGCACCTCGGGTATGTGGCCAGCAGGGGGCGCCTCAGCAGGCACCTCGGGCGTGTGGCCAGCAGGGGGCGCCTGCTCCGGGCCAGCAGGGGGCGCTGCAGGAGCAGGAGACGACACAGGCGCCTCTGGGGGCGCCGCAGGAGCTTCTGGAGGAGCCAGCTCCGACCGCACGCGGAGCAGCCCCCTCAGGGTCT